ATCCAATTTTTATATCATTTTGTAGCTAATTTCAAGCACTATCATCTCCAAGTTACCAAGTTCAAAAATAATCATTTTCAAGTATGTTACGCCTTCACAAGTTACTTGTCTCCCTCCCTTTCCATTCCAACTGCTGCAGCCTTCAATCCATCCATGTTTTATACAACTTTGTAGCTCCTAATAAAGATAACAGAAACAGTACAACCCGCACTTCATATTTCTCTCATTGAAAAAATGGGTATCAAAATCACAAAACTTGCAAAAAACACAAAATAGGCGAAAAAAGGAAACTAGTAGGAATAGAGCATTTCTTAAAGAAGTGATGTCTAATGACCGGATGATAGAATTGAGCACTGCTCAATTCCTCCATAATGTGTGATATTCTTGAAAACTCCACAACAATTCACAGATCCTCCGGCGACTTCGGCAGTGAATCCGTGTCGGAACCAATTCACATAACACGGCGCGACTTGTTCGGAGAAGATGAGCGCTTCGATGGCTGACCAGGCGGATGTTAGGCCACCAACCAGGCCGAATGCTGCAAAAAAAGAAATTGGATTTGAATTGTCCAAAATAGTCTAAAAATGAGGTTTCTACGATGATTTTGAGGTGAGTTATGGACATTTTAAGAATTCGACTCTGGAAAAAAAAACAAATTTTCAGAAAATGCGCCGAAGGCGCGACAGCCATGCTCAAAATTTTTGTAGAATTCTCATATTAATACCAAAACTAGTAGTGTAGTTTGTAGTTTGTAGTTTGTACTCACTCAATGAGATCAGATTGAACGCCAGAAGAAGCTTTGGTGTGTAGTACCAGACACTGAAAAATGGAATAAATCAAAATGAAAAGAGTTGTAACTTTTTTGAAAATCAACGTTTTTTGAAAACTTAAAAAGAGTCTTGTAGAAATTGAGAAGGGCTACAAATTAGTTATAAAATTTGATAATATCCGGTTTCTCGGAATATAAAGGATTAAAAACAGAGGAGGTTTATTGCAAGCGGTGACCAGTAGGATCACCGATTTCAAAGACTCTGTGACTTTTAACTTTGAGTCAATTTATCTAGCTTCCTGTGCAAGATATCAAAAAGTGTTCCACTGAGAAAATGTTACTAATATTACGAGGAACATTTTTTCAGTGGACATATTTTTGATATCTTAAACAGGCAACGAGATAAACAGATTCAAAGGAACGCTGTTTTTATTTGCAGTTTCACAGATTTCGAAAGGAAAAAATTCAAGTCATATTTAAGCGTGATAAATAAATTATTTCGAAAAAAAACCCTAAATGACCCATTGACCTCAGAGAGAGTACTATAAAGGAAGAAGGAAGTAGAGAGAAGAATCAGTTCTACCTTCTCTGAACTCCAGAGAAGGAGGGAGGGTCATGGATCCTTGGATCCTTGGATCGCCTGGGTACCTGGGTCCCCTGGATCCGGGTAACCTAGATCCGTGTTACCTGGGTCCTGGATCTGGGTGACCTAGATCCGGGTGACCTAGATCCGGTTGACCTAGATCCGGGTGACCTAGGTCCGGGTAACCTAGATCCGGGTGATCTAGATCCGGGTGACCTGGATCTGGGTAACCTAGATCCGGGTGACCTAGATCCGGGTGACCTAGGTCCGGGTAACCTAGATCCGTGTTACTTGGGTCCTGGATCTGGGTGACCTAGATCCGGGTGACCTAGATCCGGTTGACCTAGATCCGGGTGACCTAGATCCGGGTGACCTGGGTCCTGGGTAACGGGTACCGAGAGCGGAGCCCAGGAGGTTTAGCCCCGGAGGGGCGTAAACCGACTGGTTATTCACATTGTATATCATTTTGTAGCCCTTTTCAAGATCTTTCATTTCCACCTCCTCTTCCCCAGTTAAACTGAAAAAACTAGTCAAATTTTATATCATTTTATAGCTATTTTTTAGCTCTATCATCTCCAATTCACCAAACTTCAAAATCAACTCACTCTGCCAAACTAGCGGTCTCGACATTTGGAGTATTCGGAAGGATGGTTCAGGCCTTCAACCCATCCTCTCTTTTCTTGTGGNAAGCTTGCATGAAAAGCCAGAAAATACTTGGAAGCAACATTGTCATCAATGTAATTGTTGTGGCACCGACCAAATCCAAAAATAGACCCAGTTTCAAAACGGAAAGAGCTGTGAAGCAGACCAGTAACAGGACAATGGTACGGACCAGGAAGCGGCGCCCTCCGAATTCTGGAAATTGATAAATTCAGGTTAGTGAGTTGTGTAAGACATGAAAATTGAGCTCAAAAATAGCTATAGCTTGTTAAGAGCTTCAAAATGATTTTAAACATTCATGTTGGACCTAAATCGAGGGGGAAAAACTCGAAAACAGTTTTATTCACTCTGAAATTTTCAGACAAATCTAAATATGAGCTTAATTTTTAAGCAGCCAAAATGTCATTTTTCAAAAAAAATTGCAATTTTTTTTTTCAAAAAAATTTTTTGGAAAAATCGACATATCTCGCTAGGGCTTGATTTTCAGAAAAAGTTGTCAACTATAAAAATGAAGATCTAGTCTTGTTTCATATATTCTGAAATTTTCAGGCAGTTCCATTAAAGCCTACGATTAGGAATCCGAATCCACTCCTCGACTTGTTGAGATAACGGAGATAGCACAATAATAATGGTGGGCAAGATATGGGCAGTAATAAGTACATTGATGGTTTGCGCGACCCAAGTAAGTTGGATAGATGGGATTACTGTATCCACCATACTGTCACCATAAGCCATTAGACCAGTGATGGAGACGGCGAGGTAAACAAGGGTGATCACTGGAAGTTCTAGTTTGTAGTCTTTGTAGTCTCCGAAAAACTCACAAATATAACTGGAAATCACAGATTTATTGAACTGTCCAGGCATCGCCATATCGTGTTGAATCGTTGGAAACGCTCCATGACCTCCAAATGCAAAAACAATGGTACCATAGGACAGGGTGAATTGCTTAGCGGTCAGAGCAGGCATCTGCCGGTGTGGAGCACATACTGGCATGTCCCATGATGCTCCGAATACTATTAATCCTAGAAAAAAAAACATTTTTGCTGTCAGCTAAAGCCAAAAACCAGCTTGCTAGGGTGATCTTGAGCTGTGTAAGGCATTTTTTAATATGGCAACATTCAAGCTCCTACAAAAGTTGGTCACCCTAATTCTAACTTTTTGAAATTTTCAGAGTTTACTAAACAAAACTAAAGCTTTAATTTTGTAGTCAACAACTTTTTCGAAAAGTCAAGTCCTGAGGAGATATGCCTCGTGGTAGCGCTCTTCCCGGTGGGTGCGTTGTGGTGCAGTTCCCACCCGCTTG